AGGGCTCACATAGAGGCAAAACCTTTTCTGCTTTTTGCACTGCCTCGATGGAAAGGAAGTTAGGAATGCATGGAAGGCTGGGAGGAGACCCTGCCAGGAGAGGTGACCCAAAATGATCAAAGTGATACCCCAGACTACATGGCATCATGCTCAGCATATAGAACTGGGGGAAGGGGGAGGAAGAGGTAGGGCAGTGATGTTTGAAGTGATACCATTTGTCTTCCCAAGTCACTGTTAGGTGTGATGGGGCCCTGCTCTCCTGGACACCTACCTGCCCACAGGACGTGGAGGAAGCATTCCTTGTTTTACTTTGCTTGTGACTTCTGCTTTTTTTTTTTTTTTTTTTTTTTTTTTATGCACAGAATCAGAGAATTTCAGAAAATTTCAGAACATTCTGAGCTGAAAAAGACCTACAAGGATCATCAGGATCATCAAGACCTCATCTTTACCTGCTGGTGGGAGAATCACTGAGCAGCAATGTTGGGCTTGGTTGATGGCTGGGGTTAAAACAACACAGATCTATAAATATATGACAAACTATCTGTTTGTGGATTTTTTTCTAATGCAACAGAGGAATGCCTGGAAAGAATATTAAACGTGAGCTTTGTTCCTCATATACAATGACAGAAGCATGCATTATTTTGTGAGACTTTGGCAAATCGTCTTATTCAAAAGTTGTCTTTCTTGTGGATGAACAAAGATGTAGGCTTACATACTCTTATGTAAGAAAAAAAGAAAGCGGAATGGCCATGACTGAATATTTATGAAAACATGAAGAAGTTAGTGCTTCCTCTGGAACTTCTGATTGGCATTTAATCAAAATACAGTATGTCCTAAACTACACAGCAAATGTAATAAATAATTAACATATATCCTACTGCATTTTATGCTTGTGGTTGATACTGTCATACTTTGAAAATGTCATTAATTGTCTCTCACTATTCTCTAACCATTACTCCTCCAGTCATGACCAAGGGTTGCTCCATCCATCCTGCTGACTGGGCTCAGGGACAAGTGTATTCATAGGAATTTTAAAGCCTAGAGCAATGGGATGTGAATTGTTGATTATACTCAGTGTAATAAATCCAAGGCTTTTCTGTGAATTCTAAGCCTTTAAAGTCTAAAAAAAAAAAAAAATATTTTTCTTCTGGTATTAGATTAGATTTGATGTTGATGCAAGTTTTTGATGTTACTGTACAAACAACAAGCGATATATACCAGAGATGTCTGTAATGTTTTATTCAGGTTAATAATTGCCCAGAGATGGCCTGATCTCTGATGAGGTCTCCACTGCCCTCTCATAGCAGAGATAGACGATAAGAAACAGAAAATAAATATTAATGAGGCTAAAAGAAAATTAAGGAAGGGACTACTTTCTCCTCCCCTCCAGTTCACATCAACCACAAGCTAACAGTAAAAGAATTACATTTTAAATTAAATTGGTTTTGATAAACAGCACTTTACTATCATTTCAATGCAGTTCCACAAAATTGTTAGTTATTCTATGGAACTGTTTGGTACCAATGGTTTACATCAGAATGGTAATAATTTCAAAATTAATATACAATGTTTTCCTTGTAGAAAGTAATTCCTTCTTAGGGGGCAATACTTGTACAATGACTTGCATCTGATGGTACAATCAAGGTATGTATTCACTTAGTCCTCTCTTCAGGTTCATTAATAGTCATTCTCTGTTATCTTTAGAAAGGTCCTCTAATCTAGCATTAACAAGAAATTTCTGACATTCCTGACATCTAGCATTAATAAGAAAATCAACAGCAGTCATAGCAGTAGTAGTAATAGTAGCAGTAGTAGTAGTAGTAGCAGTAGTAGTAGTAATAATAATAATAAGAAGAAATGTTTATGTGCTTATAGAAATTGTGATCATCATAGTACACATGTGAAAATCTGAATGCATAAAAGCTTCTGTAAAACTGGGGAGTTTTAGCACAGAAAAGTAGGTATGCAGAAATGAGAATTTGCATGGAAACTTCCCAATTCCTCTTTATTTCCATTCACTGCAACATTTTCCCTTAATAATTTTTAGTCACAGCTGACTTGATGTGTATAGAGGATTTAATTATGTTTTCTGCAACACTTCAGTTTTAGAGAGTTTAAAAAAAAAGCCCCTGCACCTACTGGAGTACCAATTTCTGGCAGGTTCTCAAGTGATGATTTAGTAACAGTACTGCTGTTGCTGATTTACAACAGTAGAGACAGTTACCAATAAAACAAAAATGTTTCATAGCTCCAGTGGAAAAAACTTACAGCAGTACTTGCCTTAATCTTTCATTTAAAACTCACACTTGACCTTACACAATTACTTACTAAGGCTGTGCACTTCAAACCTCTTTCAACTACACTGGAACTTCAATTCTTTGGGAGGAAGAAAGTAGAGGAAAGCTCTAAGAAGCACTAGGACAAAACTTTTAAAATATTTGGAATTTCAGCACCAATTATTACTTCTCTTGGTTGGAAGTGTCAGTGTTAATTTTCAGGAGAAACAAACAAAATAAGACCCTAGAAACAAAATTTCATATTTAAAATGAAAATTTCTAATACTTAAAGTATTAAAAACATGTCTGTTAGCTCCCGACAACCTAAGAACTTCAAAAACATTATATTCAAAAGAGGAATATTGCAATTTCTTTAAGACAGAAATAATTTTAACCACATCAATTAGTTTTTGATCTAGGAAATTTTCTTTGGACAACTGACTTAGTAATATTACCAATAACACTTCAAGATGACATTTAAAGGTCTTTAATTTTGTCTCATCTGACTGGCCACTGGCCTTAAAAGCAAAGCAAAACTTAAGTATTCAGGATCTATTACTACAGAAAGAACCATAAAATTAAAACAAGAAAAATAAATTAATACAGAACAAAAATTCAAATCCCATCCTATTGTCTTTGATGATTGGCAGCCTACTGGAAAATCTAGCCATTAAAATTCATTCAAAACAAACTACCTCGCCTACAGAAATTTTCACTTCTAAAACAATAAATATATAGCGATTTTTTTCCAGATTAGATTTTGAAAATGAACAATATGCATTAGGCTGGCAAAGTTCTCTCCATACATTATTGTTCATTGTTTAATTTAAATAATTTAATTTATTTTTCCTATAATAATGATATCTTGCCTGTAGTATGGCCAGAGTTCTTGTATTTTCACTTCAGATGAGTGTTCTGACATAGCAGTTAGGACTTATTCCTAAATAAAAACACTTTGTATTTATAAATAACAGCATATACATGAAATAATCTGTTCATTCAATTCAACCATGTGACACGGGATTTTGCCCTGTGTTTGAGATGTATCTGAGAAAGCCAGTAGTGAACGTATTTTATACTTGATTTGTTTCATCATTCAGAATTCTATATTGGAAAGAAGCTTGAGCCTCTTCCTCAAATCTTGCTTCCTAAATTGTAAGAGTGACCTCTAGTGCTTTACTGCTTTGCTGTGTGATGCAAGTCTTTTTTTGCAATGGTTTTAATATGCCTCCCTGTAAGCAACTGATTTAGTTTCGTGCATAGTGCCAAATGCTATTAATGTGCAATTCAATTATCATGGTCTTGTGAAAATGGATGTATTCATAAACTGTACAATGCAGAATGATGAAGAGAATTAAAGCTGTGACTGGATTGCAGCAGGGTGTTTAACATGAGGAACTTAGTATTCATGTTTAGGGCTACACAATGCACTTGAGTATCAAATGAGATATCATTACTGAATGACAGCACAAGATCATTTTGGTGCTGCAATGTGAATGTCTGGCTCATGGGAGCATGTTTAGTTTACAAACCATCCATATGCAAAACCCTAGGCTATAGATCCATTGAGCACTTCAAACTTCTCTGCCATTGCTCAAATGTTTCCAGGGAGCTGTCCCCTGCCACTGGGCTGTAAGGTTATTCCTGAACATTCCTCATTGCTTTGGCATGCACTTTCTTCCCAAAGAATCATTACTTCAGCCCTTCCCATTCCTGTGATGCACAACCAGTGCCTTAACAGGAACGGGAGAAAATATGTTCAGTTCAGGTTATGAGCATCTGGCATTTAGGCTACTGCACTACCACAGAACACAAAAGAAAATCCTTCAGCTTGTTGAAGCTGAATCAAATGGAACAAGAATAACTCAGTTCTGTTACTGAATTATAAAATCCCTGAAAATTAATTTCCCAATGAGTTTTTCCTTTTTTAATTTAAAGGTAATTAACCTAATTCAATACTGGAAACAGAGATTTTTCAGATACATATACATATGTATATGTGTATCTATCTATCTATCTATCTAACTATATATATATATGATGTGCCTCCTAGAGAGCAGATTGTACTTAAAACTGTAATCACAGCCTTTATTTTGTGATACTACTCTACTGGCTAACTCATTTAAAAAAGCCCCAAAAACCAAAACTTTCTATTGTAACTGTCAGCATTCTTTTCTGTAGTCATGCATGAACAGTTCTCCCTAACAATCAATGCTCAGACCTTAAAGTCTTGCTAGCCACATTTTTCCTCGTTACATTTCTACTGCTTTTGAACTGCACTGTGATTGCCATTCAAGTTGAGTGCCAGCTTAATCCAGGATATGCAGATACCAGCTTTCACAATTTTCAAATGCTAAAATCCACTACACAATAGAAACACTGCACAATAGAAGTCTGCCAGTAATTTCCATGTAAGACAAAATTGCTTGGAAAATACTGCACTTTAAAAGAGAAAACAAAAATGAAAATACAGCTGAACATGCATCCCTTAGCAAAATGCTGCTTTCAGATACTCTTATACAGTAAGCTTTATAAACAACAATCTCATAACAAAAATCTATGGAAGAGTTTTAGAAAATTTTCAAGCTAGCAGCTTAATGTCATGATTTCAAAACATAAATATTTGTCTCAAAAATTATATTTATTCTAAATGCGAAAAAAAAAAAAATCCCAGAAGTTTTCAACACACTCTGGATTGAGTTTTAAATCATATGCAATACTTACATTTATTCCCTGCCACTGCCATGTGCTGGCGATGAACAGACAGGAGAAAGAGCAGCTTCAAGAAGATTTCAGTGACAGAATCCATGTTCACAATCATTGAGGCACCCAAAAGAGCCAGAGTATTCGGAAACAGCTGTGCTGTACTTCAGTTCTGCTCCTGCCTCCTTCCCACCGCCTCTCTCCGCCTCTTCTCGCAGAGCTTCCTTCCCAGGGGCAAGGCACCTCAGCCGAACGCGCTCCGCATCTCCTGGCACACGCACGCACACCTCCGGATCTGCTGCTCAGTCTCGCAGCAGCAAGCCCAGAGGAGCAGCAGCGAGAATCTCCCCCCCGCTGCCACAGAGGCTCTGGGGGCTGCACGGGCAGCCGGCTCGCACGCCGCAGCCGCGGGCAGCCCGCTCGGCGCGGCGCCGGACACCCCTGGCGGCGGCAGGTGGCACCGGTGCGGCGCCCTGCGATGCCTGCGCGCCGCTGGCTCTGCGCGCTGCCGAGCCTTTCCCGGCATAGTGATTTTGTTCCGTTTTTTTAAATTTAATTCTTTTTTTTTTTTTTTTTTTTTTTTTTTTTTTTTTTTTTTTTTTTTTTTTTTTTTTTTTC